ATATATGCAAAGCGTAACTGTTTGCTGCCTTAAGAATTTGAGCTTAGGTTCACATGTTTGCCAATATCTGGCAATTGTAAGATCTAAGAATTGACTAAGTAATATTCTTTCCAACATATAATGCTAGTGGTCAGAAATAAACAAAAATGAAATACACAAAAATAAGTCCAATCCCAATTGCACCTTCAAAGCTCATTTATATATATAGAAAGAAGATTCCAGATTTATTGATTCTTTAGACGCAGGGTAATGGAATCATGAGATAGGTTGTCTCAAGAACAGCTAAACCAGTTGAAGTTTACAGCATAATAAAATAATAGAAATTGCCCATTGTTCGGGAAACAACCAGGACAGTGATCTCAGCCAGTTACTTACCTCAGAGGTTTGAAATGGTAGAGGATTCTTGGTGTGTAAGCTATACTTGATAATGGCAAAGTGCTCAGTGGAGACATGAGAGAGGAAAAGTGATTCCCCGAAGACCAACAGAGATCCAGAAGACACTCCAAATATGAGGCCCCGGATGATAATTTTCCTTGAGTTATGCACCTCATACCAGTGAGGGGGGAAAACTCAGTTATTTGGAAAGCTAATTACAAATGTATTTGTTAGCATCATTCTGAAAGATACCATTTGTAAGCACTCTTCTTCAACATGGTTTGTAAAAGAAAATGTAGCATTAAGCTTTAAAGAAAAGACGGTGTGTGCAGTATTTGCTGTGCTATCAATTTAATTCAATTCCAGGTAGTAGTGCACGAAAATATGCCAATTACAAGAAAATTCTGGTTACATTCCCTTCCAAAAATTTGTAAGTTTTTTTTCCTGAAATATACCACCTTTAATATTTAAAATACTTTTTCTTCCTCTGAATATACCACAATCTTAGTCGACAATGGAACCAGATGATTCCAACAGAAAAGGAATAGATATATCAGGTACACAGAGATTAGTCAAAATCTCAGTCACCATTTTTTTTCACCTCCTCTTCATCGTTTTCACTTGAATTTCATCCCCCAGGTAGAAATATCCATCTGCTGCCTAGTAGATAATGACCTGAAGCCAAATTGACAATTATTTTTCAAGGAAAACACTGGCAGAAATCCATGCAAACTGAAAATGATTGTTACTGATTTAATCAGGTGGTAAAGCCATTCAAAATTTTTCATTGTAGTGAAAACTTCAAGTGTTTATTTGAATTACTATTTGGCTAAACTGATCAAATTAGACCTTTGACAATTTCATGCAGCCTCTTTTATAAGCAGACAGAACCATGGGCAAGATTATCAAATAGCTTTTCAAGAACATGACAACTTATCACATAATCACAGTATTGACTTCAGCAGAACTCCTTTTTTTCTTCATTTTTTTAATTTTAAAAACAATCTTTTCTAATTTTACATATGAATCCTAGTTCCCATTCCCTCCCGTCCTCCTGCTGCCCCCACCATGTCCCCACCCCACCCCCATCCACTCCTCAGGAAGGAGTTTATTCCTTACAATGAGGCAGGACCAAGGCCCTCTCCCCTACATCTAGGCTGAGCAAGGTATCCCACCAAAGATAACAAAGCATTTAGTAGATTAGTAAACTGATATCGAACACACCTTCTCAAAAAAGAAAATAAAGTGATTTTAACTTAAGTTAAAGTTTTAAAATTGTGGGTCAACTACAAAACAAATGGTGTGTTTGTGTGTCAAAGAGTAGTCAGATATGTTAATTATTTAAACTTACCATAAATACCATTAACATGTTCCTGGAGCACAATATCTAAGCAGAGACTTCAACATTTCATGGTATTAATAATTATCTTATATACCTTGTGTAAAAATATATAACTGTGATTGAAGTGATGGTTGAGTGATTAAAACAAACAAACAAAAAAATAAAACAGCAAAAAAACCTTGATGCACAAGCAAGAGAATGGGGTTTAGATGCTCAGAACTCTGGTGTAGGGATGATGTCTTCTATTCCTTAGAAGGAAGAGACAGGAGATCTCCAATGAAAACAGGCTGGTGAGACTAGCCATATCAGTGACTTGTGATTTGACGGAGAGACAATGCCTCAATTAATGAAGTGGAGACCAGTGGGAGATTCCTGAAATGTGGCCCCCATTTGCCTGCCCCTCCCCCAACAGGCCCACAACAAGTATGTACACTCATGAGAACACAGACCTTCTTAAAAAAAGAAAATAAAGTGATTTTCAATTAAGTGATATTCTTCTCAACAAGAAACAAGAAAACCATCTTTTAGAAACAGAAAGACATTAATTGGGTACATTTTTACTCTAGTCAGTTATGCTCAAGTGTTGTCTGTCAGAGTAAAGAAATCAGTGTATCTTGTAAAACAGATAAAACGCTAAAGGTAGTGCATTAGAAAAATATTCTCAATGAACGTATTTGATTTGAGTAAGGTGAATTTTTGAGACTACATAAATGTCAAATATTGAGTTCTTGCCAGGCATTGGTGGCACACACCTTTAATCCCAGCACTCGGGAGGCAGAGGCAGCCGGATCTCTGTGAGTTTGAGGCCAGCCTGGTCTCCAGAGGGAGTGCCAGGATAGGCTCCAAAGCTACATAGAGAAACCCTGTCTCAAAAAACCAAAGAGAGAGAGAGAGAGAGAGAGAGAGAGAGAGAGAGAGAGATCTTGTTAAGTTATGGCTAGAAGCAAAATACATTAATTACGTGTTAAAATTTTTATTGAATTTTCTTAGATTTCTTTGTCTACAATGCACTTATCCTATCACTATGTGAGTTCTGCAGTTAAATAAATTAGTTAATGAAAATGTTCTATTTTCTTGTGTATCCATGTGCTGCTGCAAAATGTTGTTACCCACATAATGACAGGACCCACTGCTGAGCTGCAATATCCAGAAAAGGAAAAGTTTCTCACAAACCCTCTAATACAAACCTCTTTCAGAATAGAGAAATAGACATGTAAAACTACAGATAAAAGGAAAAGAGTTCTGGCCAAATGAAAACGAAAAGAACGTGCTGAAAATATGAAGTTGTAAAGGTTCATACCTTTGGAAATGGCAAACCTATCTCCTTGTTCAGCCTAGCTAAGCAGTGCTGACAAACTATCCCATGAAGCCTTGAGGCTAGAATCAGACAGTCTTGTGCACATTGGGGATTTAAGGGCAGGAGAAACTCTCTACGTGAAAGCCGCAGTTTTTCACATCTTGACAGTACTAAGTCAGTCAGCAGAGAATCCCAGGAAGGTGGACAGGCAGCAAATGAAAAGGGAAGGAGAGAAGTCCGATTTTAAGCAAGCTGGACAGGGTCCCTGCCAAGGCTTGTAAATGAACAAGAAACCGTATGCGTTTGCATCAGTGAGCTGGCTCCTTGGTGGTCTACTTTGAGGTCTCACAAACATGGCATAACAGTGGCATGTCATTGTCTCTGTGTTGGCAGATCTGGGTTTAAGAAGCCTATGTAGCTAGGTGAGTCTTGATGCTTAACCTGAAGTAGGAATTTAGAGGAATGAAGAAACACAACTTGAATCTGGATCTATAGGAAGGGAAATACAGCTCTAATTGGGCAACATCTTTTCTTTAATCATAACATAATGTGAATTACGTACATATTCTCCTTGATGATGATGAATCGTCAAAACTCTTGTTTTAAAATTATGCAAACCGGAAGCTTTGTTTTTTCTTTCATCTAATTTAACAGCATAATCTTAACTAGAAACAGTCTCTCAGACCTTTCTAAGTTTGGGGCTAATGAATATCCTAAATCCTTCTTGTGTCAATCTCTTAGATTGATTCTCAGATTTTCATATTCTCTGTTTATGTGGCTGGCCTTGAACTCAAAGAGATCTGTCTGCCTGGTGTGCACACGTGCTGGGTTTAAAGGTTTGTACAACCATGGGGGGTGGGGGTGGGGTGAGCACAGACACAAATAACAAAATGAGAAGAGTAAATAGCAACTGTGTAAAAATAGACATGATTTCTTTATTTATAGAATATTAATTCAGGCTAGCAAAATGCACTTTTAATGGTTATTGCCAACTAGACCACACCTGAAATAAACTAAAATCCTCAAATGGAAAGGACAACTGGGAGGAATGATCAGCATGAGTTGGAGTAGACAGATTGCCTTGAAATACTGACTTTGGAGGTAGAAAACACAAGCAGAAGATCAGGGTCAACACGCCTGAAGACACACACCTTTAATCCACATCTGAAGCTAGGAGTAGCCTCAGACACACCCTAAACTGGGACACACCTTCTGCTGGCGGCATATAAAAGGAAATGGAAGAAGGAAGCCTCCACACTCTGACTGCTTGCCCTCACCTTTCAGCCAGACTATCTCTTCTCCGCCATTAGAGCAAACTTCCTTGAATTCCAGAATATACTCAAGACCAGCAGATGCATCCATCCTCCTGCGCTGAGTAAGTACTGGATTCTTAGATTTTCTCTTCACAGCTAGACATTGTGGGATTAGCAGGAATGCAGCCAGGAGTCATTGTATTGAATCTGCCTTCTTCATACAGACAGAGGTTCGTTCGTTCTATGTGATCTTTTTCTCTAGAGAACCCTAGTACACACACCCTAGTACACACTTTTGGATAGGAGTGTGTAAAATGTCCAAATGATTCAACAGTTGAGAATAATCGTCAAAAGTAGTTACCTGTTGACCTAAGAATCAGTCGAGAAAAGAATATAGAGGAATGTTACTGTCTCTGGTAGTTTAAACTGTCTTCTCTGAAACTAATATTGAAATCTGGATAGAAAATTTCAGAGAGAGATCCAAGTTTCTAGCCCGGCTGGAAGTGGGAACAGCGGGGAAAAGAGAAAATAAAAGTCTAAAAGCTATTTGTGGTGGTGCATTGCTTCTCTGATCTTCAGCTTGAAGCTTGAACACTAATATCAATCTCTGGGTTTTTTTTTTTTTCCCCACCGTTTTACAGATATCTCTAATTGTGACCTCCAGGTTGAAGAAGGAAAATTCACAGTTCTTCATTTTTGGTTGAGGTTAATCTTCAAAATACCACAAGAAGATATGTCAGGGGAATTGGCAATGGATACCTCGGGCTACAAACAGGTCAACATCAAGAAATACTGCCACAAGTGGAGTATGAGCAACTTCCGTTTTTACTTGGAGCAAACGCAGACCACAAACCTTAAAAGTCCCACTTTCTCATCAGGCGCCAATGACACACATGAATGGTGTTTGACAGTACACCTGAACGGGGTCGATGAAGAAAGCAAAGATTACTTGTCAGTTTACGTAGGGTTGCTCAGCTGTCCAAAGAGCCCAGTTTTTACAAAGTTCCAGCTATGGATCATCAATACAGAAGGAGAGAAATCCCAAGAAATGAAGAGCTCAAAATTCTTCAGGTTTCTGCAAAACCAACACTGGGGATTCAAAAGGTTCATCCTGCGAGATTTCCTCTTGTCCCAGGAGCCTTGGCTTCGCCCAGACGGCAAACTCACCCTCCTCTGCAAGTTGTCTGTGGTCGAAGACTCCTCTTCTGAAGGCACAAGGGCCCGGATCCAGGTTCCAAGGTGCAAGATGGCAGATGAGCTGGGAGAGCTGTGGGAGAATTCCCTCTTCACAGACTGCTGTGTGGTGGTAGCTGGCCAGGAATTCCAGGCTCACAAGGCCATCTTAGCAGCTCGCTCTCCAGTCTTCAGAGCCATGTTTGAACATGACATGAAAGAGAGAAGAACCAACCGCGTTGAGATCCGTGATCTGGAGCCGCAAGTCTTCAAGGCAATGATGGGCTTCATTTACACTGGGAAGGCTCCAGACCTCCACAGCATGGCAGACGCTGTGCTGGCAGCTACTGACAAGTATGGCCTGGAGCGTTTGAAGATCATGTGTGAGGATGCCCTCTGCAGGGACCTCTCGGTGGAGAATGCTGCCCACACTCTCAGTCTGGCTGACCTCCACAGTGCAGGGCAGCTGAAAACCCACGCACTGGATTTCATTACAGCTCATGCTTCTAAGGTCTCTGAGACCTCAAGCTGGAAGGCGATGGTGGGCTCATATCCCCACTTGGTGGCTGAAGCATTCAGCTCCCTGGCTTTTGCTCACAGCTCTTTGCTGGAGCCCCCTCCCAAACGCTTGAGGCAATCATAGGATCCTCTCAGCTGGGAACTACAGAATTATTCCAGAAGCAGCAGCCAGCATTGGTACCAAGGACACCTGGTTGACTGCGGACTATTGAAGCGTTTTCAGAGAATCTGGGGAAAGACAACATGGGGGCTCAAGCCTTTAATGCCCCTGTCTTTGAGCTGAATTGTGTTTTGGGGTGCAGAGAGCACATCGTTCTACGATACTTTATCCAGTTGCTGGACTGGTTTGCTTTCTCTACAGTGAGTCGGACACTGGGATTCAGTAGGGTTTGGGGGGCCAAACACATCCCAACAGGGTTCCTTTGGAGGAACCTGTCTGGACTAGACAGAACAGAGCATTTGATGAAGGATTTAGCGCCAAGGAGAAAACAAACGAGAATGTTTGCTTACCAGAGACTGGGAAGAGAAGAGAAAGAAGACCGTTTTGTTTTTCCTTTTCTCCAAACTCTGTGGGGGGCGGCAGGGCTGGAGGGTTGACTCAGTTGCCCAAAGTAATTGTTGCTGCTGCTGAGGACCACTTCATGAGTTCAGCTCTCAGCATACATGAGTGACTTCTCACTGGTCTCTAATTAGACATCCGGAAGAGTGAAGTCCTCCTCTTGTCTCTATGGGTGCACCCATCTCTGTTAACCAAAGACAATATAAAGTGAATAAAAATTTTACGATCTGTTTGTGGGTTCCGTGCTGTTTCTGTTTGAAGAAGGCCATTTTAGTGTGTCCAGCTCTGCTCGGCTGTGGGAGTTTGGACAGCATCCTGAGAGCCATACCATTCCCACAAACCCTCACTCCTTCTTACAACTCCCTTACAGTTGGCAGAGCAGATACCAAAGGGGAAGAAGACAACTGCATGTGGCAGAGTCTATTGGTAGTCCAGTCTTTGCAAAAGACTTTATTGGTTTTGAAAAAGGAGAAGGAAATTGATTCATTGAGAATCCATACATTCTCCACCTGAACTGTGGGTCTGCCTTTAGATATTGGGAAAATGAATCTTCCCTCCCCAGCATTGTGAGAAAGGCATTCTTTCCTGGGAACAGGTTCAAAGGCTGGGTTGGGTCTTTGCCTCTCCTCACTTGTCCTCCTCTGACTGGTTCTCCTTTGACAGCTCTTTGCAAATTAGCCTGAAGTCATTGGTTTAGAGGTTAATCCCAGCCAAGCCCCCTGTTGATTGATTCAGGCACCAAAGATTGAAGACAACATGTCTATGTGTATGTTGTAGCCAGTTGAGGGTCAAATCACACCCACTCTGCAAAAGGAATCTCCTTTCCTTGGTTTCTTTTGCTATGGATATAAGTTACTTTATGGGAGACTGGGATTATTTCTTTTTTCTCTATTTTTTTCATTTGAATTAGAAACAAGATTGTTTTAAATGTCAATCCCAGTTCCCTCTCCCTCCCCTCCTACACCTGTCCCCCAAACTAACACCCTACCTACCTTGTCCCACTCTGCAAGATGTCAACCTGGGGCAAGAGAGTCAGGGATAGAGAATGGGGACAAGAGACACAGAAAGAACAACCACAAGACAGGATTCTGATCAAGTGGCAAACTTTATTTTTCTCAGGCTAGCTCATATAGTCAGTAGAGCAGGATATGGGCAGGGGTAGAATTGGTTGTTGGTGCACCTGGTCTTAGTGCAGGCAGGATATTAGGAAGCCACAAAGAGGATGTTTGTCAGGGTAAAGAGTTTATGAGTAAGAGTGTTGGGGAATCTACTGTGTATGTTTATCTTATTGATTGTTAAATAAAATACTGTTTGGCCAATGAGACAGCAAGTTAGATGGGACTAGGAGTCAAAGAGGATTCTGGGAAATGTAGTAGAGATGTGGTGATCCAGGCAGGAAGTGACATAGCAAGGAGACTCATTTAAGCAAAGGAGAAACAGGAAGCGTCCCTTTTCCCCTCCACTCTTGCTGCACCAGCACAATGGGATCCACTGGCAAGGAGGGACGCCAATAAGGTGTCCGATAAGTCTTATAAAATACATAGGTTTATGATAATTAAGTCTGATGGAGAATCCTAGTCATTGGCCAAACAGCTTTGAACCTAATACAAGTTTCTGTGTGTATTTTTTTTGGGCCGTATCTCAGGCGGGCGGCTGATGTAAAGCAAACACGTGGTCGTGGGGCTTGGTGGCTTATGGCAGAATGATGTATCGTAACAGAATGGTGTCAAAAGTGGGATGACCTCATGCCCCTAGGTTCCCAGAGAAAGGTGGAAACCTGCCGCCATGCCTGCCCTGTTGTGCTTGAGAGGCATCGGAGCAGCTTCCATATGCTTGCACCATCCCATCGCTTCTGGAGTTTAGACTCGGTACTCCCAAGATGATAAAGACAGTTCTAGATAAAGAAAAACCTCTAAATGTTTACATTGCATTTAAAAAAATATGTAGGCTTGTGAGAGAAGGAAAGTGATTTCCACAAAGAAACCCTGTCTCTGGGAAAAAAGAAACAAAAGAAAGTAAAAATAAAGGAATAAAAAAGCCACATAAAGATGGAAAACACAGAGAGAATCTGGATACTATATGACAAATTTTTTCTTTAAATTGTTTGATTGCCAAGAAAAGACTTACTGCTACTAAAATACATTGGATTATAAATGCTGCTAAATTAATCCAACTTATACATTTTAAAAATGCTCTAACTTCAAAATTTAAGTTTAAGGACAGGCTACTTAGAAAGAATGATCAAGCAAGACCCCCTGAAGCTGAGATGATGCAGCCTTACAGACTACAAAAACAAGGACTTGTTCAAGGTTCTATGTTTTATTACGATCCCTATGGTATATGAACATCGCCCCCAATCAGCAGGAAGCAGTTTAGAAGGAATGATGCCCAAATCCCCAAATATTGTTTATAAATGTTTGTTCTCATTTAAATGGGGTTAGTTATAAATGATAATGAACATAGTCAATCTCTTTTTAAAGAAAAAAAAAGGGGGAATAGGGTATAGGAATGAATACTTTGCATTGGTA